ACACACACACGCACGCACACGCACACACACACACACGGATGTCACTCTAATCCTGGTAGTTCCTCCTCTGGGGAGCATGGAGGTGCAGTGTGTGTGTGTGTGTGTGTGTGTGTGTGTGTGTGTCTGTGTGCAGCAGCAGGGGCCCTCACGTTGTCCCCGTTGGCCCGGAGCTTCCAGAAGGGCTGGATGAAGAGCCAGGAGCCCTCGTTCCCCGTCCCGTCCAGCGTGACGCGCATGGCGTTCTTCTCCAGCAGCGCCGGCAGCCTCTTGTTCACCGTCAGGTACTTGTTGCTCTTCATGTGGAGCAGCTGGAGGAGGAGCACACGGGACCATCACGCTTCTTCTGCGCCATCACACACATCGGAATGCTCTGTGGAGCCACATCCGAGGGATGATGTACGAACTATTCACAGCTTCTCTGAGTCGCCTTCAGCCGGTTTGTGTCCCTCAGCAGAACGTAGACTCCATTCATCTCACATAACAAATGTACCTTATGTTAATAAAAGACGTTCTATACAAGAATATTTGAACTCAGAAAGAGGTTTTCTTTCTTATAATAATAATGATCTAAAAACAATTCCTAGACTTTTTTTATTTAAAAGGGACCTTAAGTGAGAGAATTCATAATTCATAAGAGTGAGAGTGAGTCGACACAGAAGGAGCAGTTCAGCGTTTACACTGCTGGCTACACACCTTACACACCCCTTACACACACACACACACCTTACACACACACACACACACACACACACACACACACGCACACACCTTTCTCCAGGAATCATTATCATAACAGCTCGACACAGTTTAACTCAGCAGCGACCACACCCAGATTCACTCCCTGTGTGTGTGTCTGTGTGTGTGTGTGTGTGTGTGTGTCTCCAGCTTTGAAGCGAGGTCAATATTGACACTGTCAGATAGCGATACGTCGATACGCGGCGCAAAGCAGTGAGACAAGGTGTGTGTGTGTGTGTTTGTGTCAGACAGGTACACTAAGCGATCACACATGCAGGGCGGTCAAATGGACACATGTTGCCATGGCGACAAGCGACAGACCACCAGGCGCAGTGTGCAGCCGGTTCGCATCCTCGCACAGATCAATGCGAAAACGCCTCAATACTATTATACTATCATACTAATATACTAACACTGTACGACTTTTTTCAAAGTAAAGTCCAGCAACACGTGTCATTACAAGCATGCAGGCCTTTCAAAATAAAGCTCCGTTGTCACCTTTTCTAGAGTTGTGTTACTACGTTGTGTTGCATTGTTCATGTGTGACGATGTGTTACTACGTTGTGATGTTGTGTTACATTGTTCATGTGTGACGATGTGTTACTACGTTGTGTTACATTGTTCATGTGTGACGATGTGTTACTACGTTGTGATGTTGTGTTACATTGTTCATGTGTGACGATGTGTTACTACGTTGTGTTACATTGTTCATGTGTGACGATGTGTTACTACGTTGTGATGTTGTGTTACATTGTTCATGTGTGGCGATGTGTTACTACGTTGTGTTACATTGTTCATGTGTGACGATGTGTTACTACGTTGTGATGTTGTGTTACATTGTCATGTCGTTGTACCTGGAGGACGGTCCCGTACTTCACAACGTCTCCGTGGACTTTCTTGTTTTCCGTCTCGTTCTGCTTCTGCTCCAAGTTAGAGGCATGCTGGGAGAAACACACAGACACACACACACAGACACACACAGACACACACACAGACACACACACACACAGACAGACACACACAGACACACACACAGACAGACACACACATAAGTTGTAACACAGAGCAACAATGTTTAGCTTAGCACAATGAACAGAAGCAGAGGGAAACATGCTAACGTGCTAAAATAGCATCAGACTACCTCATGTTTTTCTTTTTCACATTCAGGACTTTTTATTTCCTTTTCTGTGGCGTTAACTCCATCTGTGTGTGTGTAAGCCGTGTGCGTCTGTGTGTGTGTGTCTGTGTGCGTTACCTGGAGTTTCTGCAGCAGCACCACGTCAGCGATTTTGTCCTTCTCGTGTTTTGCTTGCTTTGCTTTCCAGAATTGTTTCTGAGCAGAATATCGACTCATCGGACAGACTTTAAACAGGCAGTCTGAGAGGACGGAACAGAACATTTATTAATACATAATAGGTTATATTAACACAGACTGATATGAAATATGTGAATATAACAGATGAATGTAAATAGAATGGAATATTGTTTATTATCTCTTCCGCCTTCTTCTTATCTACGACCTCATAAACTAGTTAACTAGTTCAACTTATTTAGACTAAAACAGCACTGAACAGATGGCATCTTGTGTGTGTGTGTGTGTGTGTGTGTGTGTGTGTGTGTGTGTGTGTGAGACAGCAGCTGGACCTACATCACTCACACATCATCCATATTAAATCCATCACTTTTTCATGGGTCCGTTTGGTTCTTCTAACGGGGACAGAACTGACCCAGGACCAGAATGAGGCCGGGCTGAACTAATAATAATAACAACAACAGCTGGTGACCAAATGCATTATCTCTATATATTATTTAACCAGGAGACTGATGGTGTTACTGTTATAAAGGGTTAACGTTATATTAGGGCTGTCAACATAAACACATTAATCTATGTGATTAAGGCAACACAATATTTGAACATATATTTCTGAACAACAACGTTTGAAGTTGACGGCGAAAACGACGCGGCCGCTAGATGAGAGACGCACAACAAACAGGCGCGACGCACAGCGGAGAACCGAGCAGAGGAATCACTGCACGTGTCAAACAGAAGGGGGGCGAGGGGCAGACGCACCACGTAGAGCACCGCTATGCTAAGCTAGCCGCTAGGCTAAGCTAGCCGCTACTCCCATCTCAACGTGTAACATGTAACGTTACCCAGCGCGGCACACACAGTCTGCAGAGGACCACTGTGTCCCCAAAAGACGTGGTTTAAAACTGCTGAATGTGGGACATGTTGGCACTTTAAACACGTCAAACGATGGAGAGTTGAGAGCAAAGTGCACGAGGACGACAGGAAGAGACGCAGGTTCCACGTGTTCCACGTGTTCCACGTGTTCAACGTGTTCCACCAGGAGGAATTCTGCTAATCGCCATTGTAGGATTAATTAATTAACATTCTTTTATCTATTGACAGCTCTAGTTATGAGGTGATTGAAACGTCAAAATAAAAGCCTTTTGTGGAGATGTTTATTTAGTGAGATTTCACCAGAGAATCAAAACAGAACCAGACGTCACTCAACAACAGCGAGACTTTCTACCTTCTGATTAGAGATCAACACCGGTGTGGTCCTACCTCGGAACTTCTTTGGAGGATTCTCCAGGTCTCCACCAGCTGGTTCCACCACACAGCGGTCATCCACCAGCCTGGAGAGGAGGAGAAGAAGGTCAGTCAACGTCCATCACGTTTACGGATGAAGGACTTAGATATGTGGGACTGTGTGTGCGTGTGCGCCAATTAAGTCTGTGTGTCATCAGAGGAAATCTCTCCTAACAGCAGTGTTGAGGCAACAGAAGGCCTCAACGGGGACACTCACTGTGTGTTTGAATGGACAGGTAATCCTGCTGCCTGCACACAGCTCACTGCATGAAAAGAGGGATTTTGTGTGTCTCCGTGTGTGTGTGTGTGTGTTTCTGACTTTTATTGAAAACACTTCCTTCACAAAAAAGCCTGGTTTTGTTCCGCAATCAGACCTTAATTAATCTATTAAACATATTACAAATAATGTCTTCTCTTCCTGTCACATCTTCATGTCTGTGCTGTCTTCTTCTTCATGTCCTCTCTTTAGTTCCTGCTTTATTCCTTCCTTCACCATCTCATTCCTTTTTTTTTGTCCTTTTAATCATTCATTTTCTTCTTCTTCTCTGTCTTCCTCCCCCCATCGGCGCCTCTCAGCCCCTTTGTGTGTCTTTGCGTGTCTGCCAGGTGCGTCCCAGGTGTGTGTTCTGCTGATTGCTCTATTCACACCCAGGTGTGTTGACTCAGGGACCACCGAGTGCTTCACCAATCACAGCTCACACCATTCGTTTAACGTCTTTCATTTACTAGGATTGATGGTACATCATTCAGAGGAACATCAGCGTAACTCAATCCGACAGCAAAGTGGATCCATTTGCACCAACTTTCATTGAATGAGAAAGTCTTTATCGTGTCCTGCAGCTGCTACACACTCTGCTTCTCCGCTAAATACATGTTAACATCTGGACACCAAAGATCCACATCACGGTATAGAGAGGCTGACGGTGTCCCGGTACATCACGGTATAGAGAGGCTGACGGTGTCCCGGTACATCACGGTATAGAGAGGCTGACGGTGTCCCGGTACATCGCGGTATAAAGAGTCTGACGGTGTCCCGGTACATCGCGGTATAAAGAGTCTGACGGTGTCCCGGTACATCACGGTATAGAGAGTCTGACGGTGTCCCGGTACATCACGGTATAGAGAGTCTGACGGTGTCCCGGTACATCACGGTATAGAGAGTCTGACGGTGTCCCGGTACATCACGGTACAAGCACAAGGTTGTTGGTTCGATTCCAGGCTGCCCCATGTTCCATGTCGAAGTGTCCCTGAGCAAGACACCTGACCCCTAATTGCTCCCCGGGCAAAAATGTGAAAAAAATCCATGGGTTTAAAGTGTGATGTAAGTCGCTTTGGATAAAAGCGTCAGCTAAATGACCTGTAATGTGATGTAATGTGATGTAATGTAATGTGATGTAATGTAATGTGATGTAATGTAATGTAATGTAATGTAATGTAATGTGATGTAATGTGATGTAATGTGATGTAATGTGTTCGTTGGTCGTTTTTGTGATTGCCGCATTTTTCTCTTGCAGCGTTTTTTTTACTTTTACTCTAAGTGTACTTTACTGTATTTTTTAACACTAGTACTTTTTTTTAACTTGAGTACAATTTAAGCAACGTAACAGTATCTGTACTTGAGTACAAATGTTCAGTACTCTTTCCACCTCTGGAGTTACTTCTTGTTGTGAGCTGTACCCAGCATGCAGTTCGGCGGGGTCATTTTTATAAATAAATAGTGTTTGTTGTGGGTTCTTCAATGTTGGTATAAAGTTGTAACCGTGACTCAATCCCAACACACATGAGACGAGTAGCTCTGACCGCTGGAAGCGACGCGTGGCACATTCGTCCTGTACGCAGATCTTACAGCGGTTGAACCGGTGCACCGCGCAGCCCCACTGGACACTAAACACAGAGGAAAAGGATAATAATCATAAATGATGTGGCTGAATCCAAAGGAAACCACCAACTATCATCGTGATGTTGAACCTCTGGCTTTGTTTCCCTCTGACAGTTTAAAGTGTGCTTCGTTTCGGTTTGGTTGGATCGGTCTGAGCCGTTTCTCCTCCCAGACTGAGCATCTGAGGTCAGCTTGAGTGCTTTTGGTGTTGTTCCAGTTAACGGTTAATAACCGTAATTAAGTGACGCCTCGGTCACGCCCTGTTTTTAAATTCAGAACAATTCAGAGATCAGGTGGATTTTAAACAATGTGGTTCAATAAATGATCTACTAGATTTTACCAGTGTTTTCATGCTTCCTGTGAAATGCATTGTGGGACGGCAAAGCCAATCAACCGCATAAACAAGAACTTACCAGGTACTGGTCAATTTGACATCTGTAGGTCGATATAAACATGTTAACATTAAGTTAATACATAGCTATTTCCTCTCTGTGATCGGTTATCACCACAGGTTGGGGTAAAAACCACGATGCGTTCAAGGTCTATCTCGTAAGAAGGAGAATTCCTCCTTTTTTCACTGCTCTGCTTCCTGTTGACACGTGTGATGTCATACAGGTGTCCAGGTGCGCTTCCATCGGCATGTAAAGCAGCTTTGGAGTTAAACAAATAAAAGCTCCGTGAAGCGTTGGACAGAGATTTGACTGTTTGAACGCGGCCTGGACTCTGATTCATCCACAGACCTCAGAGGTCAAACTCTACGGTCAGGGACACTCCTTCAGACTCTTCTCCCCGGGGGGGGAGGGAGGGAACGAGTGGGGCCGGTTTGTGGAGTGAGAGCGTCCTGGTGCTAAACACACAGGTACCAGAGGAGGCGTTTGCGGCTTCTCCAGGAATCTGCTGCGAGGCGTCCTGTCAGCAGCTGAAGCGTGAACTTTGACCCCTGGACACACGAATGTCTCAGACCAGCCGTAGAGATCGTTTCATTCTGGACCAACGAGCTGACCGTGGGCGCGCGTGACACCGGCGCGGCTGAAGGCGAGACAATGGTTCTGGGAGCCAGTGAAGGTCAACAAGAGAAGCTGAAAGATCTCCACAGGAGACCGGAACACACGCACAGAAATCTCTCTTGGACAGACTTGTACCACTTCCTTTTCCTGCCATACAAGACGGAGCGAACACTTTCCCTGTGAGTTCAGAATCAACCTTTACTGCTTCAGATTCCCGCCGACGGCCGTTTACCCCCAAAGAGACTCAGAGAGTGAAAGGAGAACCCAGGAGCTCCAGAGGGACCTGGACGATTCCCAGTCTCACTGGTAGCGAGCATGCAGCCCCATTGTGTCCCACTGAGGAGGACGTCTCCATAACGTGGACGCTTCTCGTGACTCTGAGGGGCATCGCTGCCTCGCTCTCACCAGCGCCTCCTACGGGCCGGCGAGCAGCAGAACAACACAGGTAATAAAAGGTGTTTGACGGCGAGAGGCAGTTTGTCCTCAGAGACGGAACGTTCTTACACTTTACACCGTCATGTATTCTGCAGTGTATTTATACCACCGTATGCTGGACACACGCATCTATGTGTCATGTAGATATATTTAATAACTCATATTTTGTTATTGATTAGTTACCACATTATTAAGTATATTTCCACAAATGTTTCTCCTTTTCAGCGACTAGAAGATGCAGCTTAATATGTTGAAATGTGACTTTAATTAATAACTTTGGGGTCAAACAGCAGCTAAAAGAGGCCAGAACACTATAGAAATGTAAGTTTAGGAGTACATTAGTACTAGTAATAGTAGTATACATTGTACGTAAGCAGGCCTCCATGATGATGACTGAGTTCATGGTTAAAATATCTGATAAAAGTCTCTTTAATGAAACCAACAGGCGTGTAGTAGTAGTAGTAGTAGTAGTAGTACATGTACGCACGTTGTATACAAGTACACGGTGAGGACGGACGCACTGCTGCTCCCGGACCTCGGACCTGCGGACTCACCCCAGGGTGCTGATGAAGCCGTTGACGGAACCCTCCGCGAACAGCGACACGATGTCCCCGATGTGCAGGAAGCTGGAGGCCGAGTCCGACATGCTGGAGCCGGGTCCGGGTCCGGGTCCGGGTCCGGGTCCGGGCCACGCGACGCTGGAAGACGGAAACGGTCCCCCTCACGCGCACACACCTGTCTCTAGTGTCTGCAGAGCCACGAGTCTCCGTGCGCGTCTCCGTCCAGGTCTCCGTGAGTCTGCCTCCTCGCGCGCCGCCGGCTTCCGCGTGACGACAACGAAACTCTGCGAGAAGTTCACGGGGCGAGAAGCGAAGCAGAGACGCTTCTTTGTGTATTTGCGCTCTGACGAGGAAGTGAGCCGGGGCGTGACAGACCCACACACGCGCGCACACAGGCACGCGTGCAAACCGGGCGTGCAGGAACGTGCAGAGGCGCGCCACAAGACCCGCCCCCCACACCCCATGAAACCTCACCACTTCATCTCACACCCCATGAAACTTCACCACTTCATCTCACCCCCCATGAAACTTCACCACTTCATCTCACCCCCCATGAAACTTCACCACTTCATCTCACCCCCCATGAAACTTCACCACTTCATCTCACACCCCATGAAACTTCACCACTTCATCTCACACCCCATGAAACTTCACCACTTCATCTCACCCCCATGAAACTTCACCACTTCATCTCACCCCCCACACCCCATGAACTTCACCACTTCATCTCACCCCCCATGAAACTTCACCAGTTCATCTCACCCCCCATGAAACCTCACCACTTCATCTCACCCCCCATGAAACTTCACCACTTCATCTCACCCCCCATGAAACTTCACCAGTTCATCTCACCCCCCATGAAACCTCACCACTTCATCTCACACCCCATGAAACTTCACCACTTCATCCCACCCCCCACACCCCATGAAACTTCACCACTTCATCTCACCCCCCCACACCCCATGAAACTTCATCACTTAATCTCACCACTTCATGTCACCACTTCATCACACCCCCCACACCCCATGAAACCTCACCACTTCATGTCACCACTTCATCACACCCCCCACACCCCACGAAACTTCACCACTTCATGTCACCACTTTATGTCACCACTTCATCACGCCCCCCACACCCCATGAAACCTCACCACTTCATCTCACCCCCCCACACCCCATGAAACTTCATCACTTAATCTCACCACTTCATGTCACCACTTCATCACACCCCCCACACCCCATGAAACCTCACCACTTCATGTCACCACTTCATCACACCCCCCACACCCCACGAAACTTCACCACTTCATGTCACCACTTTATGTCACCACTTCATCACGCCCCCCACACCCCATGAAACCTCACCACTTCATCTCACCCCCCCACATCCCATGAAACCTCACCACTTCATCCAGAGGAGCATTTACTGAGGCAAAGAGCAGATGTCATACACAGTTTGTTAGAGGAGAACCACAGCAAGCAGGACCCATCACGCCGTCCCTCGTCCTGCACTGGGACACTCTGACCACGTCATGGTCCATCTGGGTCCTGCATACAGGCACAAACTAAAGCTCTGCAAACCTGTGGTGAGGGACGTCAAGTGGACCAGTGAGGCGCTGGAGGATCTTCAGGCGTGCTTGGACTCCAGAGACTGGGATGTTTTCAGGACGGCTACTGACAGTCTGGACGAGTTCACAGAGGCTTCTGTGAGGAGCGCTGTGGTCCATCATGCACCAGGGTGAGTTTGAACAACGACAAACCCGGTTCACAGCGGATCTCAGAACACTACGTCTGCAGGAGGACCAGGCCTTTAGCAACAGGGACAAAGACCGGTACACAGAGTCAGAATACAGGTTTACAAGGCGGTGAGATGCTGAACGCCTGCACTCTGAGAAACAGCTGTCAGCAGGTGACCCTGCTTCGGTTTGATGAGGCCTCAGACAGATCACCGCTTGGGCAGCAGGACGGGGGAGCATCTCATCGCTGATGGGCTTTCGCATTACGGCGTCAGGCGATTCATTGGCTCAAACATCAACCTCAATAATACCTTCAGTTTGTCAACAATAAGCAGCTTTCTTTCCTTAATTTAGAAGCAGATCATAAAAGTGTTAAAAGTCAACAATGTTTTCTGAAGAAAAACTAACTTTTAATAATTGTGTCTCTAAAAAAATAAGTTATTGAAAATATCCTCTTTTCTTTCTTCATGTGGTTTAAAGTACTGTGTGTACAACACAACGTACTACACCTCTTTATTGTGTACTTACGCTGTATTAGGTATCAGTCAGTGTACTTCGCACCGCAGTACTTTCTACTGTACATTTTACTTTAGTAAGGACTTTGTGTGAGTATTTTCAGTGTACAATAATAACTACACACCCTGTGTGTGTGTGTGTGTGTTAAGTCATGCTGACTGGACTTCCTGTTTCAGGTGTTAGATCAGTAAACACCACAATCCCACGTGGTCACTGTGAAAGACACACACACACACACACAAACACACACACATACACACACATACACACACACACACACATACACACACATACACACACACACACATACACACACACACACACACACACACACATACATACACACACACACACACACACACATACACACACACACACACACGCTCTATTAGTATTCCCTCCATGTAGAATACGTGTATCAGTGAATCCAGCAGGTCTCCATAGCGATGAAGAGAACAGCTTGTTTTCTTTCTGGAGAGAATTAAAACTTCCTCCGTACCACAATGTGTGTGTGTGTGTGTGTGTGTATGTATGTGTGCGTGTGTGTGTGTGTGTATGTATGTGTGTGTGTGTGTGTGTGTGTGTGTGTGTGCGTGTGTGTGTGCGTGTGTGTGTGTATGTATGTGTGCGTGTGTGTGTGTGTGTATGTATGTGTGTGTGTGTGTGTGTGTGTGTGTGTGTGCGTGTGTGTGTGCGTGTGTGTGTGTATGTATGTGTGCGTGTGTGTGTGTGTATGTGTGCGTGTGTGTGTGTGTGTGTGTTTGTATGTGTGTGTGTGTGTATGTATGTGTGCGTGTGTGTGTGTGTGTGTGCGTGTGTGTGTGTGTGTATGTATGTATGTGTGTGTGTGTGTGTGTGTGTGTGTATGTATGTGTGTGTGTGTGTATGTATGTGTGCGTGTGTGTGTGTGGTGTGTGTGCGTGTGTGTGTGTATGTATGTGTGTGTGTGTGTATGTGTGTGTGTGTGTATGTATGTGTGTATGTATGTGTGTGTGTGTGTGTGTGTGTATGTATATGTGTGTGTATGTGTGTGTGTGTTTTTGTGTGTGTGTGTATATGTGTGTATGTGTGTGTGTGTGTATGTGTGTATGTGTGTGTGTGTGTGTGTGTTTTGTGTGTGTGTGTGTATATGTGTGTATGTGTGTGTGTGTGTGTGTGTGTGTGTGTGTGTGTGTGTGTGTGTGTCTGATGGGGGTCAGACACATTTAGATGAAGCAGCTGAAATAAAAATAAAAAGCCGCTGGATGTTTCATCTGAGCTCCTCTGGAGGCTTCAGACCCGATGAGGTCGTCTAACTGGGACGAGACCGAAGTAAACAGAAGAGTCAGAGTCCACCTCCTTCTTCCTCCTCTCCTCAGGTCCTCAGAACCTCCTTCTTCCTCCTCTCCTCAAGTCCTCAGAACCTCCTTCTTCCTCCTCTCCTCAGGTCCTCAGAACCTCCTTCTTCCTCCTCTCATCATGTCATCAGAACCTCCTTCTTCCTCCTCTCCTCAGGTCCTCAGAACCTCCTTCTTCCTCTCCTAATCAGGTCCTCAGAACCTCCTTCTTCCTCCTCTCATCATGTCATCAGAACCTCCTTCTTCCTCCTCTCCTCAGGTCCTCAGAACCTCCTTCTTCCTCCTCTCCTCAGGTCCTCAGAACCTCCTTCTTCCTCCCCTAATCAGGTCCTCAGAACCTCTCTGAGCCTTTATCACACATATTGGAGGTCTGAAGCTTGAGGAGAACCTCCTCCTCTCACGCAGCTGAAGAGGATCACATCGTCTCTTCTTCTTCTTCAAACCAAACAGGAGGATTTAGATCGGATTTAAGGGTCATTTCAAATCGCCTTTTTCCACCGACTTTCCCTCCCATATAAGGTGTGTGTCTGTGTGTGTGTGTCTGTGTGTGTGTGTGTCCACTGACCCCTGCCGTCCTCCATGTCTTTCCACTCAAGAGACTGGCAGCCTTATATAGCTGCAGGAGCTGAGAGGACTAAGCAGGACTGTGAGTCCTCTCACCTCCTCCCACCTCCTCTCAGCTCCTCCCAGCTCCTCCCACCTCCTCCCACCTCCTCTCACCTCCTCCCAGCTCCTCCCACCTCCTCCCACCTCCTCTCACCTCCTCTCACCTCCTCCCACCTCCTCTCACCTCCTCTCATCCCCGGTGCGTAACAGCAAACAGTAAGCCAATGGACGACAAGACAACAGTGCGCGAGGAACCTACTACAGGTCAACACAGAGGCCCACATGTGGTGTCACATCTGTATCAGTTACTACTGCACATCTGTTGATGAAAGGCTGACCTCTACTAAAGGTCAACACAGAGGCCTTTGGAAGTTTTTTTTGTTTAATTTTTTTTAAATTTCTGAATCATTTTGTTTGTGAATTTCTTCAGAACCTGCAACATGCAGTGTTTTTATTTTAATTTGTGATGATAATATAATGTTCGTAATATGTAATACTAGCCTCAGCTTTAAACTTTTACTGCAGTAAGTAAACGGAGTACTTCACTGTCTCAGTGGGGACATCCAGTGGCGAGAAGTGGAGCTGCATGTCTTGAGGAATCTGGGTATAATATAAATATTCATATTAGAAATTAGAATGCTGCTTAAATGTGACTTGAATTGACCAGAAGACTCAAATGGGTGTTTGCTTCATATTACAGCTGATTTCACTTTACTTTGGATCTCTTTTGGTTGTTCTGTCCCCGTCTCATTATGTGTCTAATCACCATATTACACAATCAGAAAAAAATCCAAATACGTTGAAGAAAGATTTTTAGTGTCACCGTGACTTGTAGTGAACTATTTTCACAATAAATCTAAACACGCGTTTCATTTTTGGTTTCCGGGAATCGGTGTCAGAGTGAGACGTCGTCGCGCCGCTGCGCCGCTGCTCCGCTCCGTCTCCTCCGCCGCCGCAGCTAGCTTAGCCTCCTGCTAGCTAGCCGCTCCGGTAAACATGGCCATGTCGCAGGCTCTGTCGGAGGAGGAGTTCCATCGGATGCAGGTGAGGCCTACGAACGCAACAGGTGTGCCCGCAGGTGTGCGTATCGGTTGCCGGAATAACGCGCGCTACCTGTCAGTGCTGCTGCCAGGGGCGGCACCGCCGGCGGGGACGTTAGCTCGCGCATGCTAACCGTAACCTAACCTATGCTAACCGAACTGCCGTTGGCAGCTAACGGGTTTTTAAACGTTATTCTCCGAGTGACGTCACGTCAATCTAAACCGAGGTATCGATCAGATCGATCACACACTGATGGGGTCGTTTGTGACCGACAGTGTAACGGCGGGTCATGCAGGCCGGCTGGTTCGTTGGTTTTCTGGTCTGCTTTAGTTTAGCTTAGCTTAGCATAGCTTAGCTTAGCCCATGGGAGGAAAGGAATGGTTCCGTGTTGCTCACCGGAAGCTAACGCTTGTTTGTAGCCTCGAGCTACAGCGTCAGCATCCACGAGCCGACGTGCATGCATGTAGCATAGCATAAAGAAGTACTCCACGCCCTCACTGCAGTACAAATACACACAGTGAAGATACTCTAGTACACGTTAAAGTACTGCGTTCAAAATGCAGTAAGCGTACACACGTGTATTGATAGATGTGTGTGTGTGTGTGTGTGTGTGTGTGTGTGTGTTCAGACTCAGCTGTTGGAGCTTCGGACTCAGAACTATCAGCTGTCTGATGAACTCAGGAAGAACTCAACAGGTAAATGTGTTATTAAATATATGTGTACTTCTATGCTGATTGTTTCTGGGAACTGTTTCGTGTTGAATAATGACGCAGTTTAAACCATCATTAGTTAAGAGTAATAACTGATCGATGTGTTTTCAGAACTGAACGCTGTCCGTCAGAAAAATGTTGTTTTGGAAAGAGATTTTATCAAAGCACAGAAGGTAATAATTTATATTTGTTATTATAATTCATTTTATGAACAGAAATGAATTAGTTTCACCGGATAGTTTAATTTCTTTGTGAAGCCTCCTGATTTTAAATGAGATTATCAAATCTAACTTGTATCTCAAACCTTTCGTTTGTTCTAAATAATATTTTTATTTATTATTTTTCCTTCAGGCTTTGAATAAGAGCAAAAAAGCTCAGGTGAGTTTTCATTGTCGACTGTTTTAATCCAGAATTCTTTTTAAACATTTGATTGTATTTTCAGTATCTTTAGCATTGTTCTATTTATATGAGGAATTCAATTTCATGTTTTAAACGTTTTGTTTTATTTTTGTCGTGATCTCATGCAGCATTCATTTGGTGCAAAGACGATGAACAATAAAGTCTAACACGTATTGGTATCTATTGATCCCACTTGTTGCCGTGGTTACAGGAGGTGGAGGCGTTGCTGAGTGAGAACGAGATGCTTCAGGGGAAACTCCACAGTCAGGAGGAGGACTTCCGCCTGCAGAACAGCACGCTGATGACGGAGCTCTCCAAGGTACCGCCCACTTTAGAGGGGGGGCACTATAGCTGTGTCTCGTTTGGTGGGCTGCATCCTAAGGAGGACCCGGCCTTCTGGTCTCCATGGGCCGGGTCCTCTAGAGGCTGAACCACACCAAGCGGTCTGTGAAAGGAGACCGCCCCCAAAGTCTGGCCTACGGGGGGACGGCGACATCAGCTTTACCGCCGCTGCTCCTGTTGCCTAGCAACCTGCTGTGCTTAACAGTAATAGTAGTAAAATAGTAATAAGTAAATAAAATAGATAAGTAAAATAGTAGTAAACAGCAGAGAGGTCCAGAAGGACGAGGACAGAGGACAGAGAGGAGCTCTAGCAGTGTGGAGTTGCTCTGAGACAGCGAGGAGAGCAGTCTCTGTGGAACGGCCTTGAAGCCTGACTGGTGGGGGTCAAGGAGGTTGTTATGGTGGAGATAGGAGGAGAGCTGGTTAAAGATCACACGTTCAAGAGTTTTGGGCAAAAAGGGAAGGATAAAGGCCGTCTGTAGTTGTGTTCTTCAGACGGGTTGAGGGTGGGTTTCTTCAGGAGAGGGTTGACTCTTCTCCTTCAGAGAAAACATCCAGATAACAGAGCATTGTTGATGAGACAGGTGAGGAAAGGAAGAAGGTCGGGAGTGATAGATTGTAGAAGATGTGATGGAATGGGGTCAAGAGGGCAGGTGGTGGACGGGCAGAGGTTACTAGGGTAAGAACTTGGTTAGGAGACGGGGGTGAAGGAGGAAAGTGAGGGCGAAAGAGGTGAAGCCAGTGGGACACGAGTAGGAGGAGGTGGGTTTGAGAAAGAGGAGCGTATGTCAGCTATTTTCTTGGTAAAGTAGTTGACAAAGTCTCCTCGAAGAAGGGGGGAGGAGGGAGGAGGACTAGGGGCTTCGAGGAGGTTGGAGAAGATCAAAAAGAGTTTCTTGGGGTCAGAAAATGAAGATTGGATTCTGGATCGGTAGAAAGAGCTTTTGGCAGCAGAGACAGAAGCATGGCGGCTCTCATGGCACCGGATCAGACCGACACGGAGCCGGAGGGGATTTACCGACCCGTCGGGTCGTCAGAGGACAGAGAGTCTAGAGAGGAGGACAGAGTAACCGTGCCACGTGACCACAGAGCCACGTGACCACAGAGCCACGTGACCACAGAGCCACGTGACCACAGAGCCACGTGACCACAGAGCCATGTGACCACCCTTCCCGTTTGTTTCCAGCTATGCACTCAGATTGAACAGCTGGAACAGGAGAACAAGGGCCTGAAGGAGGGAGGAGCTTCCTCAGGCCCTCCATCAAACCCCGCCTCCAGCCCCGTAGACGGAGAGCTGCTCCGCCTCCGGGCCGAAAACGCCACCCTCCAGAAGAAGATGAAAGGTGAGCTGTGATTGGCCAATGCTGGGGAGGTGGACCCACCTGAGGTATGATGTGGAAGCTCGGGAGCAGAATCAATCGGGATGAACTGTGTCTGCGTTAGTTTTTTAAAGACCACAAATGTTTCTAAATCTTTTAATCAGGGTGCGTTTCATTTGTTTACCTGTGGGGGGCGTCGACCTGGTCTTTGTGATTGAGAAGGTGGCTTTTCAGGCTGAAAAGGTTTTAATTAGGGCTGTCATTTTGAAATTCATTAATTGTGATTTAGAAGTTTGTTTTTCATCTAAAGACTAAATCTTTCAAGTAAGAGAAATCACTTCAGGAAGCGTGTATTTTAGACACAGTTTAATTATAATTAACTATACACATTTAACCACCTTGGAGGTAGAATTCCACCTGTTGAACTAGTGACTCTTTTTTTTAATCAATAAATACACAAATCAATAAGTTAGCTGCAGATTTATCCTTCAGGCTTCCAGGAGCGCTATGACCAGGCCAACCCGAGCGTTACCACGGAGACGGACGGGCCGGCCGCCGCAAACCGAGTCTCTGGCGTCACAGGGAGGGGGGAGGAGCCACAGGCCGACGGAGCCAATGAGAGGCTGGAACAGGTGACTAATAAATATTAGTTTATTCCTTATTCATTTATTTATGTCAAGTCTTTTTTTCCCTACACAGTTGATAATGTTTGTCAAAAACGCTGTTTTTAATTCAACACACCTGAATGTAATGTTATCATGTGTGTATATATATTTATATGATCATCTCGATGAACTCTGCAGAGCGAGGCTCAGCTGGAGCTCCTGGAGAAACCGATGCACGGTGAGTTTACTGCTCATTTATCATTTATTAATCATCCACTGGGTTGCTGCATTTGAGGCCGTGAGACGGCTTCCAGTCGTTATGCTAAGCTAAAGATCAGATCTACGAGGTCCTTTAGCTGATGCTTTTATCCAAAGCGACCTTCATTGCATTAAAAATGTCCCACGCAGTAGGAGCGGTGTGCAGCCGTAAGGCGCCCGGGGAGCAGGTGGGGATCAGGTGTCCTGCTCAGGGACACTTCGACATGGGACATGGAGCAGCCGGGGTTCGAACTGCCAACCCTGCGGTTCCCGCACCCTCTCTACTTTATGTGCCACTGTCGCCCAATGTGTTAGAGACCTGTCAATCCGCGTGTAGTAGAGTCATTTCCTCATAGACGTCTATGGGAGCAGAGGAGTCGCCCCCTGCTGGTCACTACAGAGAAGTAGAGTCATTTCCTCATAGACGTCTATGGGAGCAGAGGAGTCGCCCCCTGCTGGTCACTACAGAGAAGTAGAGTCATTTCCTCATAGACGTCTATGGGAGCAGAGGAGTCGCCCCCTGCTGGTCACTACAGAGAAGTAGAGTCATTTCCTCATAGACGTCTATGGGAGCAGAGGAGTCGCCCCCTGCTGGTCACTACAGAGAAGTAGAGTCATTTCCTCATAGACGTCTATGGGAGCAGAGGAGTCGCCCCCTGCTGGTCACTACAGAGAAGTAGAGTCATTTCCTCATAGACGTCTATGGGAGCAGAGGAGTCGCCCCCTGCTGGTCACTGCACAGAACGCAGCTTTAACACGTGAAGCTCTGACTTCATTTAAAGAAGGGGAGCTCGACATGTGAATTTCTGTAAAGACTCGTTAGATCTGCACTAGAGGAGTCACATCTTTATTGATCCGATCGGGTATCACTTTCATGATGATGTCATAGGCTTATCCATTCCTTGTGAATTTGTTTCGCTTTGATTTGTAGGCCAATTATCTAATGCAATTCTGCAAATTGAATGAATAATATACAGCACAGGGGGCATAGACATTTAATTCTACATGTGTTCCTGACAATGGACATTCATATAATACCCAGCTGTTCATGAACAGCTGTTTAGTGGGCCGGACAGACAGCAGCCAGCCTGCGTGTGTCTCCATGGATACAGTGAACGCACCTTGTGATGATGTCATGCCGAGGTTCTTTAGTTCCTCTTGATGTGAGACTCTCAAAGTGAGTACTGAGCAGGAACGGAATAAATGGCTGAGTTGATCAATGTTTCCATGGAGATAAGCCCCTCCCCCTCTAGTCAAGAGCGGATGAAGAACCGCGAATGGTCCGGCAGGTGATGCTGCGACAACCTTGTCTCTAATTTTGTTCTGAAGGCACCTTCACCATTATTTATTAATACAACTAATAATGAATTATTACTCTTTAATAATACTAATAATTATTATTCATCAATAATGCTTTGACCCAAAACCCGATGAGCTTAGTTTTTTAACAGTCCGCATCCTCAGTGCTGGGACGAACGAGATGTCAGTGAACGCATCGCGTGCTCCATAGTTTGCGTCTGGCCCTGACGGACTGGTTCCCCCCCCTTCAGGCCGGTCAGAGAGGAGCGTAGAGGAGATAGTAGCTAAGCAGGCAGCGATAGGCTGGTCGGCTCTCTGTCCAATAACACACTGCTTTGGACCAGAGACGGAGACGAAGCTCCACCCGGAACGGGAGGGGAAGAGGCTGCTGATGGAGCAGGTCCAGAGGGTGGAGGTACTGAGACACACACACACACACTATGGATCCAACATCTTGCATAAACATGAATCAATATTAACATTAAGAGTTTTTGATAATAGGAGATCTTATATAATATAGAAGATAATTCAAAACATTTTGTCTTAGGAGTCCAAACAGGCCGAAGTCACCAAACTCCACGAAGAGATCGCCAAGGTAATCCAGCTATTGATCACTTACGGGTTCATATTCTAAAGGATATTATAAAAATAATGAGAGATTTTATTCATGATTTCCTGTCTCTCTCCGTCTGTCCTCCAGCTGTCTGACAAGCTGAAGAAGAAGCAGGACAGGTAAGACGTGTGTTTAGCCTCATGTGTATTTGTACATAAAGATGTTTGTGTACCAGCTGTAGTTCTACTTGAAGGATCATGAAGAAGAGCTTTGATATCGACTGTTTAATTCTGACTTCTTCTTCTGCGTTTGTAGTTTCCAGCGTCTCCAGGGAGAGAAGGAGGCTCTGTACAACGACAGCAGGTCACTACTCTACTTGTACTAGTACTTCCATTAGGGCTACTAGTGTAACCGCTGCTACTACTACACAAGTAGAACTCTAATAGTACTACCACAACTAGTACAGCTGTGCCTACTGCTGTCATACTACTACCGCACCAGTACAGCTACTCTTCGTCACTAGCAGTACTATTCCCTCTGCGTGTTGACATGTTGTTGTTGTTGTTGTTTACCTGCAGGACAAAGATCGATGAGATCAACCAAAGAAAGGAGGAGGAGCTTAAAGCCACGAACATCCGCATCCAGAAACTACAGTCGGACGTGGTGGCAGCCAATCAGGTCGGACTTTAGGGACACAAAGTACAGTAAAAGTAGTAGTACTTTTAGTGAGGAAGTACTCTGATATCTACTTAAGTAGAAGTACAGGTACCACAGTTCAGTAGTACTCCGATCTATACTTGAGTAAAAGTCGTAATACCACAGTGAAGAAGTACTCACCATGAAACTCTATTAGCGTTAGCCGTTAGCTCATTTTAACTTGGAGCCAACAGTATTCAATTGAAGTAGAAGTACCTCAGAAATAGCGAGCTGACGTGTGTTTTGTGTTTTTAGACGACGGCCGAACTGAGAGAGCAAATCCAGAGCCGAGCGAGGGAGCACGAGGTGATGGTTCACACCTTGAGGGACCAGGTAACGCACGCAGACACACACTCTGTAATCAGCTGTAATCACTCAAAGGTCGGATCACTTATGAAACATTAATCAGTATTCATTTATAATACGGGTGGATGAAATCCAGCGTTCTGATTGGTTGTGTGAGTCCCGGTGTACTATTGCGCCATAAAGTCCTGCACACCTGTTTGCGTTGACCTGAGCGTTCCACTTCACTGCGCAGTAACGGTTGACGTTCGATTTTGTGAGACTGTTAGTTGTCGTTTCATTGTTTACCTCGGGGGCGATCCCTGAAAAAAGGCTGGAAATGCTGCTAATTATTGGTTTCGGGCAATGCAAGCATTTGCAAACAAATTTAGGACCCCTTTCAGCTAAAGAGGACAATTCAGGTGGACGTCATGAGCGATGTGAATGAATGAGATGGTGCGAGATCTCGCAAGGAGACCTGGGATGTTTTCAGACGCACAAATGAATGTCCAACAACTTGTGGTGCTGTGCTAACTAACCTGGTGCTGCTGTTTGCCTGTTGCATCAACACACGTACAGAACACCCTTGAACTGTAACATCATTGAAGATAAGGTACTGCCTCTCGTACCGTATTGCTTTTATATATATATATATATATATAATTACTGATATTATACTAACTGACTTTTGCAGAAATCATGACATCACGGCATCTTCTGTCCTTTGTTATGAAACCTGGAGGCAGCGCCGGCTATTTATATATAACCTTGTATCCTGATCTACAGCACAAAGCGTATACAGACAAACAAATCATTGTCATGTAGCTCCTAAACTGTTCAGATCTCCGGGGAGTCTAATACTGCACATCTTCAGGTTCCGTATCGTTACGTACAGTACCTGTACAGTATCGCAGGCACTTCCTGGTCTCCCGGCTCGCTCTCATCCTCGTTGTCCATTCAAGTTCAAAAAGTAAAAGAAATAACTCATGGAAGACTTGAACTATGATTTCCTGTTTCGCTTTGGCAGTGGACATGCCTGCTGTTATTTCTACCTACTGCTCTGTGTTTCTAACCTTCTCCTTCTCTTCCGTCTCATCTTTTTCTCTTCCTTTGGTTCTGGTGTTTTATTCCTGGTTCTTTGTGCCGTGCTTTCTGCCGCCACCGCCCTGCGGCTTATCGGTACTGCAGGCCGCCAATCAGAGCGCAGTCAGTCAGGAGCAGGTGGACAACATCCTGCAGGAGAATGATGCTCTGAGGACTAACCTCGCTGCTCTAGAACAGGTAATAAACCCAGAGAACCTTGAATAGAGCGTCACACCACGTCATCTCTGAGGAGTAACCTCGCTGCTCTAGAGCAGGTAATAAACCCAGAGAACCTTGAATAGAGTATCACACCACGTCATCTCTGAGGAGTAACCTCGCTGCTCTAGAGCAGGTAATAAACCCAGAGAACCTTGAATAGAGTATCACACCACGTCATCTCTGAGGAGTAACCTCGCTGCTCTAGAGCAGGTAATAAACCCAGAGAACCTTGAATAGAGTATCACACCACGTCATCTCTGAGGAGTAACCTCGCTGCTCTAGAGCAGGTAATAAACCCAGAGAACCTTGAATAGAGTATCACACCACGTCATCTCTGAGGAGTAACCTCGCTGCTCTAGAGCAGGTAATAAACCCAGAGAACCTTGAATAGAGTATCACACCACGTCATCTCTGAGGACTAACCTCGCTGCTCTAGAGCAGGTAATAAACCCAGAGAACCTTGAATAGAGTATCACACCACGTCATCTCTGAGGAGTAACCTCGCTGCTCTAGAGCAGGTAATAAACCCAGAGAACCTTGAATAGAGTATCACACCACGTCATCTCTGAGGAGTAACCTCGCTGCTCTAGAACAGGTAATAAACCCAGAGAACCTTGAATAGAGCGTCACACCACGTCATCTCTGAGGAGTAACCTCGCTGCTCTAGAGCAGGTAATAAACCCAGAGAACCTTGAATAGAGTATCACACCACGTCATCTCTGAGGACTAACCTCGCTGCTCTAGAACAGGTAATAAACCCAGAGAACCTTGAATAGAGCGTCGCACCACGTCATCTCTGAGGAGTAACCTCGCTGCTCTAGAACAGGTAATAAACCCAGAGAACCTTGAATAGAGCGTCACACCACGTCATCTCTGAGGAGTAACCTCGCTGCTCTAGAACAGGTAATAAACCCAGAGAACCTTGAATAGAGCGTCACACCACGTCATCTCTGAGGAGTAACCTCGCTGCTCTAGAACAGGTAATAAACCCAGAGAACCTTGAATAGAGCGTCACACCACGTCATCTCTGAGGAGTAACCTCGCTGCTCTAGAACAGGTAATAAACCCAGAGAACCTTGAATAGAGCGTCACACCACGTCATCTCTGAGTAACCTCGCTGCGTTTAGTCTAGAACCGTAACCACAGATGGAGGGTCGCAGAAAAGGGGGAGGGGCTTATCTCCAGGGAAACCGTCATTCACATTTCCAGCTCTCTATTTCCTCTTCAAAAGATTAAAATATATAACCTCTGTTTCCGGAAGTCTCACATATCCAGAGAAACAAAATGAGTTCATGACATCATCGTAGCATCATCATGAGCTCATCGTTAAATCAACATGTTCAGTGTATCATCTATCAAGATGACGGGATCATTACAGATGTTTAATAAAGAGTTTCCCCTGTAACTTAATCTCATTGAACAGATACAGGTTAAACTGAATTAATGGCCTCATGATGCAGAATCTGAAAAGTCCTTTCTCGTTTGGTTCTTTCTTCAAAGAAGAGTAACTGACTTTTAAATGAGGGGTTTGCTGAATGGAGTCTGGCTGGTGGAGCATCTTTGCTCTGATCTAATCTGCTTTGTGTGTCCCTCCCTCCCCTCCGTCACCATGCTGAGCGCTTGTTGTAACAACTGGGTAAATGAAGTGCTGCTTCTCCTCGTGGTGTACAGATCCAGACTGTGAAGACGCAGGAGGTGAATCTCCTCCGCGAGCAGCAGGAGGCGCTCACGCAGGAGCTGCATCAGAGACGAGCTGAGAGGGAAGTGATGTCGGCTCAGAGGGACGACCTGGAGTCCCAGCTGCAGGTACACACACACACACACACACACACACACACAGGAACGAGAGGCCTTCAAGGGGAGATGAGGTCTTCATATCTTCTCTCCTGCAGGAATCCAGTTTTGCCAGCAGGAAGCTGTTGGAGCAGTTAACAGAAGAAGGACAAGAGAAGGAGAAGCTGCTGAGAGACCTGGAGGAGGCCAAGAAGGTACACACACACACTTGTGGTGCATGGAGTAGAGAGGGTGCGCCGGGAACCACATAGTCGTCGGTTCGAACCCCGTTTGCTCCATGTCCCATGTCCAAGTGTCCTTGAGCAGGACACTGAACCCCAGCTGCTTTACAGCAGCTTAAGTTAAAGTGCACCATGCGTTTTTGCCAATATTGCACAGGAATTGGTGACATCGTGTGTGTTATCGGGGGGCTTGTGAGCGAGCTGCTCATCAGCCTGATGGCCTGCGGGTAGAAGCTGCTTGCTAGTCTCTTGCTTCTGGACTTCAGACTCCTGTAGCTTCTGCCTGATGGCCGGAGAAGAGTCTGTGCTGGGGGGTTTTGTCCTTGATGATATCTGGTTCTGCTGGTGGCCCTGGTGGGGTAAATGTCCTGCTCCTGCAATCACATGCTGGAGGGCCTTCCCGCAGTGGAGGGTCCGCGCCACACGGTGGTTGATGGTGACGACGGTCTCCACCTCTGTAGAAGTTGCTGAGAAGCCTTCTTAGGAAGTCTCACTCTTGTGCCGTGTGTCTGCAGACGGCAGAGAAGAGGAAGGCCATGCTGGATGAGATGGCGATCCAGATGAACCAGGAGAAGTTTGACCACAAGGAGGCGGAGTCAGAGCTCAAGCTGCAGCACGAGAAGGAGGTGACCTCCTCCTCTTCTTCTGCAGTTCCCCTTCCTCTTTACCTTCATTGTTCTTCTGCTCTCCTTCACATTGTTAATTAACAACAAATGAAAGTCAAGTAAAGTGAATATTTACACGTCTCCTATCTTCCTTTCCTTATTTTCTCTTTCTGTGACTTGCCTTGTATCCTCTATTCTGGTTGTCTCCTCCTCTATTCTTCTCCTCACCGCCCCCCCCTCAGGTCCTGGGGGTGAGGGCTCGCTATGAGAAGGAGCTTCGAGGCCTTCATGAGGACAAGAACCGCTCGGAGAAGGAGATCCCGTCAGCAGCTCCGAGAGGAGAAGGTATCAATATATCTCGTACAAAGATCAATAATCCTCAAATGCACATAATCAATAACGTGATTGTGTCCTGAGGCCCGGGCTAAAGAGCTGGAGAGTCTTCAGCCCCGGGTGGAGGAGCTTCAGACTCAGGTTCAGTCCATGGAGGGAACCAGAGGCTGGTTTGAGAGGAGACTGAAGGAGGCAGAGGTCAGCGCTACCGTTAGCTTAGCATCACTCGCTGCTAGCCATAGCTGTACCAAAAACTCATTGATTATTGATTTGTTCTCTGCAGGAGAAAATAGAAACAAACTCGCTGGAACATCAGGAAGAGATGGAGCGAGTGAAGAGAGGACACACACTGCAGCTGGAGGTACACACACACACACACACACACTCACACACAACTACGCACACGACTACACACACACACACACACACACTCACACACAACTACGCACACGACTACACACACACACACACACACTCACAAGGGTTTTGTTGCTTTAGTTCCTTGAGATACTTCCTCATATGTAAATGTGTTGTCCTGACCCCGCCCCCTTTTATTCAAATGAGCCTAGTTGATGAAACAACCAAACGTCGTTCTACCACTAATACCAAATGTTCCAACTTAAACTGAGATGTGGTTTATTTGAGGACCAATGAGGAGCGTTGTCAAACATGAGGCCTGCGGGCCGCGTCCGGTCTCCTGGTGGCGGCTTTAGTCGACGCTTTTTTGTGTTTCATGTTGAGCTTTAACATTTTAAATAATAAACAGTGAGCGTGTTCATGAGTTCAGACGCTGAGACTTTGTCTTCATAAAGTCATGAAAACATTTAACGATTAAGTCTCCTTATCGTTACCGCCCCCCCGAGGAGACGCGCTGATTACCGAGCTCCTTATCACTTAATTAACAACACAGTCCAATTAGCAGCGGGTCAGGTGTCCCTCCCACCGGGGCGCGCTTGATATAATCACCTGCTCCTTCAGTCCGTTTCTATGAGTCATCGACTCGTACTTATTCATTCTGGGAGAAAGCAGGAAACGAATTGACACTTGGATGATTCCAAAGAAAAATACATTTGAACCAAATGAATATGATGTTGTGTGAGTTGATATCACAATCACTGTGAGGAGTTCCTCCAGCAGACCTGAGATCAGCTCCTCCTCGTGTGTCCTTCCTGCAGGAGAAGCAGTCTGAGATGGAGGAGGTGAAGCAGCAGCTGGCGGAGGCGGAAAAACAGAAGGACGGACACAAGGACACAATCGAGAAGCTCAAACAGGTACAAGTACTACAGCGGATGTACAAGTACTGCTGAAACAAACCGATCAGACATCAGTGCTCTCTGATGAGCACCAGGGGGCGACGTCTCCCTCCAACGCCACAACTACACCTCACAGGTCACATGAACACACCATGACAACGCTGTAAATCCTCACTGACCCTGAACGCGTCACGATGGGACCGGCTGCGCTTTAGCCGTTAGCAGCTATGCTACTAGCTCACGGTTGATTTAACGCACATTTGACTGAATATTAAAGACGTAGATTGGAAGTTAATCGTCAAACTGATTAAACCGTATTTTGACGTTTGCGTGGTTTCGTCTCTGCAGGAGATCAAAGACACGGTGGATGGACAACGGATCCTCGAGAAGAAAGGAAGTGCAGCGGTGAGTACCGGTGGGGGAGAGTACTTTAAGATCAATCGTGCATGCAAAGTAATAAGTGTGTGTGTGTGTGTGTGTGTGAGAGAAGCTGAAGGATTTGAAGCGCCAGCTTCAGCTGGAGAGGAAGAGAGCCGACAAGCTGCAGGAGAGACTTCAGGAGATACTGACCAACAGCAAGAGCAGGACAGGTACACCCACTGTGATGTCACTGTGATGTCACCGCTTCCTCCGCCCACCCAACAGCAAACCACACTTCCTCCAGGTTTTATTTTGAAGCTTTAAAAAAAAGTATAAACTATTTTATTCAGATTTAGTTTCCAGTCGCGTCCATTTGCAGCTCATTGATCTCCATAAAGTGATGAGGTCCGTTAAGCTTCAGCAGGGAACCCGAGGAGGAACTAAGTGGAGCAGTATTTAAGGCGCTCCCCTGTAAACGCTTTAGTAAGGAGAGACGTGCGTCTGAGACGGGTTGTGAGGTGACCGGTAAGCGCCGGCGCGCTGACCCTCCTTCAGGAGGTTCTGGTTCAGCCCGGAACCTGCTGCTCAATATTTAATGTGGCGCTCTGATTCCCTGAGCTGACGTGGACACACTGGCGTCTGCTGGCGCACACGCACACGCACACACACGCACACGCACGGCGGTGCAGGGCAGTCCTTTGCCTCATGTATAATCTATGAGGAGGGATAAATGTTTAAGAGGCTCCTGCACATAAACCTGAGAATCAGAGGCCTATTTCTGCTCTGCCCACTCATTGCATGTGAGGGACGGACCCCCGCGTGAGGGACGGACCCCCGTGTCAGAGGGACGTCCATCCCATTTATTTTTCATAATTTGTTAATAAATTGAATAGATGATGAGTCGTTCTCTGCAGGTCTGGAGGAGCTGGTTCTGTCCGAGATCAACAGTCCCAGTCGGACCCAGCAGACCGGAGACTCGTCCTCCGTCTCCTCCTTTTCCTACAGGGACATGATAAAGGAGGCCCAGCCGACCAATCAGAACAAGGTGGGCGGAGCCACTAGTCACTACTACGAGTACTTCTATTCATTCTAAAGTCAGTAAACTGTTACTCAGCGTCTTCATACCAGATAAACAAGCTAAGCTAACGTTAGCGGTCTGAACATCCATAGCCATGAGCTTATTGCTCTTAGCATGAGCAGCTAACACCTTGTAGCTGCTCTGTGTGCTTCTCGCTTTGAATAAAACTTTATTGAACTCGTACAAAGGTGTCCAGCCGTCCCAGCCGGCCTCCTGCTCCCGCTTGTCTTCTGTCTCCGAGGTGTGACGCTGAATCCCGTTGTTTGTTTTAGTCGGGGGGGGGCAGCCCTCAGTCCCAGCGCCCCGCTGAGCTGTCGGACGACGAGGTGGGGGAGCTGTTCCAGCGCCTGGCCGAGGTCCAGCAGGAGAAGTGGATGCTGGAGGAGAAGGTGAGGAGAGCTTGACCTTCATCAATATGTGAGCAGATCCTCTGAACGGGAACGCTCTTCATGAATTAGTAGTCAAACTCGTGGAATATAATAATGTACTACCTCAGTGTTGTACAAGTGCCTCAAAACCTTGCTTGAGGATTTCCATTTCCTGCTGCTCTACAGATCATTAAATGTAAATAGAATAAACTGATTACGGGTGAAAATACCTGTAAATCATAGTAGAGAAGGCCAGTATTCAGCATTAGGGGTACTTTTGGTATATTACTGCCTCGTAGTACACGAGTTCTGTAAGTACGAAGTACAAAAGGGTTTGTTTTCCTCTTTCAGGTGAAACATCTGGAGGTCAGCTGCTCGTCGATGGCTGAAGACATCTGTAGGAAGAGCTCCATCATCGAGACCTACGTGATGGAGAGCCGCATAGGTAACACACACGCGCATAACCTGCTAAAGCTAGCATGCTAACTAACTAGGCTAAGCTAAGGCAGCTAGCGTCACAGCTGTTAAAGATTGTGTTTACTGATCTCGAGCTAACTTTGTCTCCTCAGACGTGTCGGGCGGCGCCATTGGGGGACACGGGGGACACGGAGGTCACGGAGGCTCCCAGGGCGAGCGGGGGAGTCTGGGCTCGGTCCTCAGAGATCTGGTGAAGCCGGGAGACGAGAACCTGAGAGAGATGAACAAGAAGCTGCAGAACATGCTGGAGGAGCAGCTGACCAAGAACATGCACCTGCAGAAGGTGAGAATCTCCTGATCCACAATCAATGACCAATGACGCAGACCAGTGGACGTGATGCATCTGCTGTCCCTCTGTAGGACCTGGAGGTTCTCTCCCAGGAATTAGTCCGTCTCAGTAAAGATAGCGGTGCAGCCGGGTCGGGATGAGGCTATCGTCTGGATCCATCCATCCATCCATTTCCTTCGTTCTCCTCACCTGGAAGGAAAAGACCGACTAACACCTGGAACCAACATTTCTTCCGTTTCACATTCCCTGCGCAAGTCGACATGGATCATTCCTGGGCTCAGACTAACATCTGGAGCCTTCACCATCTCCTTATCTTAAGGCTTCTAGGTTACGACTAAATGCTGGAACCTGTTTTTCAAATAAACCGAACCATCGGTAAGTTTTAAAGGCGTAGAAGAAGAAACTTGTTCGACTCATTTATGTTGCTATTGAATGTACTGTAATTAGACTGTACCACCCAGTTCTTCTGGGTCCTGGCTACAACCTGGAAAACCGCCATTGTAACTGACTGTAAATATTTTTGTGACTCAGACTAACCCCGTTTGTTGGGTCCCGGCTACTTCCTGGAGTACAGATCCCTGCTATCCAAACGAATGTCATTTTGTTTGTTTTCCTCGTGCAGTCGGTTGTGATCTGGCTATTTCCTGGGCTCCTTGTATGCAACTTAATACTTAAGCACTGATGCTCGGGTCGTGGCTATTTCCTAAATCCCTGCTGTCCAGATGAACTGTTCTGCATCCCTTCTCTTGTTTACAACTTTTCAAACACTGGTTATTAATTCATAATTTCTCCCCGAGCTGAGGCAGGGATGACGTTCTATATTTCTCTTCAATTTTCAAACGATCTCACTAATTTGGATGCTTTAGGGGGTTTGTATGGTCAACAAATCTGTTTAATGAGAATTATAACAAACATTCAAAAATTCTGATGATGTGTTTTATTTTGTTTAAAGCGCCACGATTTGTATTAGTGTAATAGTATTGAATTTAATTGCAGCTAAATTCCTGATGTTAATGTCTGCTCTCGCTAATTCTGCAGGGATGTGTCTATGTCTTGGATCACATGAACTGTCACTTTAGTTGTGTATCTTATTTCCATCCCCACTGGACACCAAATGGTGCAGAAAAGAGTGAAAAACTGTCATCTTTGCATGCTAATGACTGAAATCGTGGGCCGTGTCTACTTCCTGCTTGAAACCACGTGGATATTGTTTTGTTTTTAGTTCTCGGTCTGATGTTCACTTTAAATCTTGACGTGTCGCCAGTGCAGCTTTTTATTTGTCTTTTAATGGATTCATTACATTTTCAGATGGCGCGTAAACAAAAGGAAATATTAAATATATCGACTCACTCTGAGGGGGCGGGATCTGTCTATGTGCCGCATGGCGACTTGGCCCGTCACTCTAACGTGTCTGTTTATTTATTTATATATATATATATATAAATAAATAATCTCGTGATATGACTTTAAACTGTAAGAAGAATCAACTGATCTATTTATGAGACTGATCATGACGCAAATTATTGTAACATCAAGAAATATTATTGATGATAAAACATTGTGTGGAGAGGCTGACGTGTGTCTGGTTCTTTTAATCCCCCCCCCCCCACCCGCCCACCTCCCCCCCCCGTCCTTCCCACAATCCTCCCTGCTCGCGTTGATTGAACTTTCTGCTTAAGGTGAAGTTAGCAGACGGCGTCTCGTCTTCTCTAATTATCCGTCCAGCACTTCCTGTCCCACAGAGACGGAGTGATTAGTGAGGTGACGCCTTAGCGAGATAGCGCCTGATTGGCCGAGCAAGGGGTTAATTAAAGTGGAGGTTTTAATTGAGATCAGCAGAGAGTCTCCGTGACCTCATGAAGTTCTGGCTTTAACGGAGCTGCTGGAGAGAAACTTGCTCCTTCAAAGTGAAGCTCCACAGCCACTTCCAGCCCAGATGTTCCCTCAGGACGTGATGATCGGCAACAGCTCCATCACTTCTGGCTTTGGACTTGTGCCCCAGTGTAGTTTCTCTTATAATTATTTCATGGAAGTGTTCAGTTAACGCATTCAAATGAGCACTTCCTTCATCCACAGTGAAGCAGTGCATTGTTTTCTTTTAAAGGAAATAAAAACTTAAACAATAGATGTTCTCCTACGTTCACTGTGTCATGAGCACCTAATGGAACCAAACCCATCTGTGAAGGAACTCAGGAACTACAGGAGTTTATGTTAAGTGCTCCCACCGCGACTACTTCAAATCTTTTAAAAAGCTAATTTATTACACTCCCACGTTAATGATAAGTTGATCTTCAGCATCTCCAGTGGCTGAAATCAGCGAACCTTCACTGACTGTTTGACCACATTAACACAATCTAGTAGTCTTTTTTTTAACTTACTGTGGTTTAATATTAAATTCATGTTTTAATTCTGTTTTAACAAACAAACGTTAGTGAAATGATGCACTGAGTTAACGTGTGTTCGTGTTTGCATTTTATTGTCTTTTGGCTTTTAAATGCAGAACTTTGTGTCTGAATTGAGTTTGTCCATCAATCATAGAATCACATCCACGTCTCTCTCGCCTTCTGTCTCCTTTGGTCTCCTTCCGTCTCCCTTTGTCTCTTTCTGTCTCCTTCTGTCTCCCTTTGTCTCTTTCTGTCTCCTTCTGTCTCCCTTTGTCTCCTTCTGTCTTCTTCTGTCTGCCTTTGTCTCCTTCTGTCTCCCTTTGTCTCTTTCAGTCTCCTTCTGTCTCCCTTTGTCTCCTTCTGTCTTCTTCCGTCTGCCTTTGTCTCCTTCTGTCTCCCTTTGTCTCTTTCTGTCTCCTTCTGTCTCCCTTTGTCTCCTTCTGTCTTCTTCTGTCTGCCTTTGTCTCCTTCTGTCTCCCTTGGTCTCCCATTGTCTTCTTCTGTCTGCCTTTGTCTCCTTCTGTCTCCCTTGGTCTCCCATTGTCTTCTTCTGTCTCCCTTTGTCTCCCTTTGTCTCCTTCTGTCTCCCTTGGTCTCCCTTTGTCTTCCTTGGTCTCCCTTGGTCTCCCTTGGTCTCCCTTGGTCTCTGTCTCTTGAAGCCTCTTCTGGTCTCTGATCCGGCTTCACATCGTCTGAATCACGAGTCCTCAGAGTCCAGGAGCTTGATTGTATTTTTTCAGATACGAGAATCTGTGTAATAAGTTTGCTTCTGAGATGAAATGAAGAAAATACATCTTCAGGACTCTGTAGGTTTAGAAAAAAGAAAAGAGCAAGTTGCCCATTTGATCAGTTTCTATTTTTATCCCAATAGTATAAAGTTTATTATTCACATAGATGAAGTCTGAGAAAATGACTCAATTTATTCCCTCAGCGACAAAAACGTCATCGACGTCGTCCTCTTAAGCAAAGTTTGTGGGGATTTACTGAGAAAAAGCTCATACAAATTAGACGTGAAACAGACACTTAGCCGTTAGCTGCCCCGTTAGCATCAGATGGATCAGATGGTCTTTTCCTCTGAATCTGCTTCTCTAAAATGAGAACATTGTTATTTATGGTTATTATTGACCTCCATGCGGCCAGCGACTTGTTATTAGTTCGTCTCCCTCGCGGCGTCACACACTATTAAGGCGGGAGGTCGAGCCTTATTGAAGCCGGAGATCAGGATTCAGCGCAGACGACGCCGCCTGTTTGTTGACGAGATGAGTTTTAACCTTGTGACTGATGGCGGGGGACGAGGACGGGGACGGGGACGAGGACGAGGACGGGGACGGGGGCTGGTTGGCGTGACGACGGAAGAGAGGAAATAACTCAACAAGAAAATATCATATTGCATTTTGCTCAGATGGTTTTAACACGCAGACTGTTCTTCATCCGTAGGATAAACTGCTGTGTGTGTTAATGAAACCACCGATACATGTATCATTATCTATATACATATATATATATATACATACATCTACATCTACATATATATATACATACATACATCTACATATATATATACATACATCTACATCTACATATATATATACATACATACATCTACATATATATATACATACATCTACCTATATATATACATATATATATATATATATACACATACATCTACATATATATGTATATACACATACACATACATCTACATCTATATATATATGTATATACACATATACATACATTTACATCTACATATATATATATATACATACATACATCTACATATACATCTACATATATATCTACATATATATATATATATGTATATACACATATATATATATATATATATACATACATATACATATATATACATACATCTACATATATATATCTGCATATATATACACATACATCAACACCCCCCATGAGAGCCACCAACCCTCAGAATAATGATTATATCTTTAATAATACAATTATTGTCTGTGTTAATTAATTAAACTGTCCAGCTTTATTATAGAGACAAGAGTCACATCGAGCGAGCAAGAGTCAAAGTGCAGCAAGCAGCTATCCAGAGCCTCAGTCCCCAAAGCATGCTGGGAAAAAGGAACCGGCGTGTATAACGTGAAATACCAGAATGGCTCATCTGGAGACAGTAGCAGCTCAGCTGATCGGAGAGTTCACATATTGACCATTAAGGGAGGGTCACAGGCGTCTTCGGTTACTCCATCATTGGAAGGGCCCCCCACGCACATGGAGATTGTCCCTGGGCAGCTTAGACCTACACTGGTAGGTCTAGTTGAGGTCGGGGTCAAACTGAACATGCCGACAGCTACATTGGCGCTACATCGTGCAAGGCGATCGGCCATCTCTCTGTGGTCGTGCACGGCTGGTTTTGACTGGTGAACCATCTTCATGATCTCCAACCACCGTCCTAGAAAAGTACACAGAGATGTTTAAAGACAAACTGGGAAGCATGAAGAACATCATGACTGAACCAGATCTGAAGTCTGGTAGCAAACAAAGGTTCATGTTGCCCGATGATCTCAGACCAAAAGTGGAAGCAGAGTTACAATCGTTCGTAGCGAGCGGCGTCGGTGTGAGTGAATGGCAACGCCCAAAGTTCCTGCAGGAAAACAAGACGGATCGATTAGGATTTGTGTGGATTTCAAGGTGACCGTTGACCCTGTGTTGGAAGTGGAACAATATCCACTCCCTCTCATCCATGATCTGTTTGCTGGCCCAGCAGGAGGAAAATAAATCAGCAAAATTGACCCAGACCTAGAAAACCTGCAAATTCTGTGGCATGTGATTGATGGCCAAGGCTTTCACCACCAAAGGTCCGAGCCATCAAATGTAAGTCAACTACGTTCCTACTATCTTGGGCTGCTTAATTCTTATGGGTCAAGCCTAGTTTATACTTCTGTGTTTTCAGAGAGAGACGCAGACGCAAGAGCCCCGGTAGGGCACTGTAAATAAAACAGTGAGTTACCAGCGTCGACTGCCAGTCATTTGCAGTTAATTCACAGTAAAATTTGTTCAAGTTTACGGTAACTAACAGTAATCCATTTTACGGTAACATAGTGTAAAAACCATTTACGGAATTATACCTCCGGCAACAGGCCAACAGACTAAAGACTCTTCAGACTCACCTCCAGTAAAAGACTAACAAATTGTAGCACTTAAACTGTGCTTGAATGCACATATTGTAAGTCGCTCTGGATAAACGTGTCAGCTAGATGACATGTGATGTTGATGATGTTGAGTCTTGTGGCTCGTGTCAGAGGGTCTGCAACACACCACAGTTACCCCTGTACACCCGGGGCGATTGTTCGGAAATGTTCAGTCATTTTGGTTTTCCAGAACAGCTGGTGAGTGACACCGGCCCCAATTTGTCTCTGCAGATCTGCAAAGCACAGAATTCAACATATACGATCTGCTCCGTATCACCACGTCACTAAGAAAGATTATTCAGAGCATGAAACACTCGAGGCTCACAAGGACCAGGTTCCCTCCATCGTCGACTGCACGCTGTCTTGTCGTCATACAGGAATGTGCCACATGGAACGACGAAAGAGTTACACACCGTCAGTGTGATCCAGTAAAACTCAGCAGCACCACAACTACAACTACACAACTACAGCTGCTCCTCTTCATCTTCTCTAGAAACGACTGTATAACAACTCTGATCGGACCCAGTGAGATATGTTGTCTAATTAATTTGTCTGATTTATATGAATATATATACACATATATATTTACTCTGCTGCTCCATTACATGTGTACTATAGTTTAAATGAAAAGAAACAAAACTTGACAGAAGAATACTTAACAGTCAAGAACCGTATTAAAATGTCGAGTCTATTCTTCCGTCAACAGCAAAACGTTTGGAACACACAAACATTAAACTTTAATGCAACAGCAGCTGGTGAGTGTGTGTGTGTGTGTGTGTGTGTGTGTGTGTGTGTGTGTGTGTGGCTGTGTGTTCTGAACGTCATTCAGGCGGATGATATCTATATTTTTAAATGTTGTATCATCTGAACACCTTAAATTTAATAATAATTTATAATAATAACAGACTAGATTAACTTTGTTTTAAATGCAGAAGGAATCTGTCGATTCTGGAAGGTGAAGAGATGTTTGTTCTAGAGACAAAGTCTTTTCTGTATACGTCGAAAGGTTTAGAGTTTA